GTAGAAGGTACACTGGGTTGCTGTGAGTTTTCCGGGCTGTATGGCCATGTTCCAGAAGCATTCTCTCCTATTTACAAGTAACCATTAGCACGACAAACTCAGCTTTGGGGTGTCATCTATACAATTCACCCCCCATTGTAGAGTCCAAAGAGGTGGCCTGCAACTTTGTACGCAAAAGGGTAGAAGGTACACTGGGTTGCTGTGAGTTTTCCGGGCTGTATGGCCATGTTCCAGAAGCATTCTCTCCTATTCACAAGTAACCATTYGCATGACAAACTCAGCTTTGGGGTGTCTTRTATACAATCCACCCCCATTGTAGGTCCAAAAAGCTAGCCTGCAACTTTGTACACAAAATTTTCTGGGCTGTATGGCCATGTTCCAGAAGCATTCTTTCCTATTCCCAAGTAACCATCAGAGTGACAAACTCAACTTTGGGATGTCTTCTATACAATCAATCCCCATTGTAGTCCAAAGAAGTAGCCTGCAACTTCTATGCAAAATGGTAGAAGGTACACAGGGTTGCTGTGAGTTTTCCGGGCTGTATGGCCATGTTTTGGAAGCATTCTCTCCCATTCACAAGTAACCATTAGCATGACAAACTCAGCTTTGGAGTGTCATCTATACAATCAATCCTCATCGTAGAGTCCAGAGAGGTAGCCAGCAACTTTGTACAAAAAAGGGCAGAGGGTACACTGGCTGTTTGGCCATGTTCCGGAAGTATATTCACAAGTAATAATCAGTGAGACAAACTCAGCACTGAGGTGTCTTCTGTACAATCCCTCCCCATTGCAGAGTCCAAAGAGGTAGCCTGCAACTTTGTACGCAAAAGGGTAGAAGGTACACGGGGCTGCTGTGAGTTTTCCGGGCTGTATGGTCATGTTCCAGAAGCATCCTCTCCTATTCAAAAGTAACAATTAGTGCAACAAAGTCAGCATTGGGGTGTCTCCTATACGGTCCGTCCCCATTGTAGAGTTCAAAGAGGTAGCCTGCAATTTTGTACGCAAAATGGTAGAAGGTACACTGGGTTGCTGTGAGTTTTCCGGACTGTGTGGCCCTGTTCCAGAAGCATTCTCTCCTATTCACAAGTAACCACTAGTGCAAGAGACTCAGCATTGGGGTGTCTCCTATACAATCTCTCCCCATTGTAGAGTCCAAAGAGGTAGCCTGCAATTTTGTACGCAAAACGGTAGAAGGTACACGGGGTTGCTATGAGTTTTCTGGGCTGTATGGCCATGTTCCAGAAGCATTCTCTCCTATTTACAAGTAACCATTAGCACGACAAACTCAGCTTTGGGGTGTCATCTATACAATTCACCCCCCATTGTAGAGTCCAAAGAGGTGGCCTGCAACTTTGTACGCAAAAGGGTAGAAGGTACACTGGGTTGCTGTGAGTTTTCCGGGCTGTATGGCCATGTTCCAGAAGCATTCTCTCCTATTCACAAGTAACCATTAGCATGACAAACTCAGCTTTGGGGTGTCTTCTATACAATCCACCCCCATTGTAGGTCCAAAAAGCTAGCCTGCAACTTTGTACACAAAATTTTCTGGGCTGTATGGCCATGTTCCAGAAGCATTCTTTCCTATTCCCAAGTAACCATCAGAGTGACAAACTCAACTTTGGGATGTCTTCTATACAATCAATCCCCATTGTAGTCCAAAGAAGTAGCCTGCAACTTCTATGCAAAATGGTAGAAGGTACACAGGGTTGCTGTGAGTTTTCCGGGCTGTATGGCCATGTTTTGGAAGCATTCTCTCCCATTCACAAGTAACCATTAGCATGACAAACTCAGCTTTGGAGTGTCATCTATACAATCAATCCTCATCGTAGAGTCCAGAGAGGTA